GCGGGCTTGAAAGCAATGATTGTTCATTTTGATATTTTGTTGTGTTTTCCAGATTGACCAGCTAAATGTAAAAGCATACTAACTTACACTAAGTTACACTATGCAAGTTCTGAGTTTCATGCTATTGTGCACAATATAAACCACCTCCCTGTTTTCATCATATTCTGAATGATCCATTTTCTCTTAGATCTCCCTGAAAGCCTCCATGAGCTCCATTTGGATCATAACGAGATCCAGGCAATCGAGCTGGAGGACCTGAGCCGCTACAAGCAACTGCACAGGTCAGTCGCTCCATGACAGCTCAGGCCTTTAAGCACTGCCCCTGGGGCCTCCCTGTGGCAACGGTGCCACCTAGTGCTTTACTCTATAAGTACATTTGAGAATAAGGACACATTGAAAAGCTTTTTCGTTAATTCAGTGGTGCTTTTCAAGGTGAGTCATTTGAGGATGCACAGTGAAATTCAGAATTAAATTACCTACAGACACTGTTTGACTGTCACACCACTGCAGAAAACAGGTAGTGGTGTGTAGTATTTGTTTTGTAATAAACCAACCAATACAAATAAAAAACAAATAAAAAAAGGTTTATTTATATCCAAAGGAGGCATTTGTGTTTACTATGACCAATGCACTGGAGCTAATCTAGTGCTGGTGATTTTTCCACTAGGCTGCAGCAGCAATGGGACAAGGGATTTTATTCACTCTGCCCTGTGAGGCTGCAGCATTTTACCGTTTACAGTGTGTTCGGGTTCATTGTGATTACACTTCGTTTGGTGCCTGCCTTAATCTGCGGGCCTCTTCTATTGTTTCTCACGCTTTCATTGTTGTGCTTGTTCACTGTTGCCAGGTTGGGCCTGGGCTACAATCACATCCGCATGATTGAGAACGGCAGCCTGTCCTATTTGCCAAATCTCAGAGAGCTGCATTTGGAAAACAACCGGCTGAGTCGCATCCCCAAGGGCCTGCCTGACATGAAGTACCTGCAGGTGGGTGGGGATAGAGGGGGCAGTGAAGAGAGAGCGCAGTAAATCTGTTTGGCAGGGTCAGACTACCGCCGTGTGAGAGGAACAGCGAGCTCAGTGCCGAAAGTACAAAAGCAGGCCACAGGAGTAGAGGGCTGGCTGAGGAAAGCCAAACAGTGGGTGACAAGTCTCTAAAATTATAGAGAGAGACACCAGAAGCAGCAGAAACAGTTAAAAATGTGCTTTTTTTTAAATTTTCTGTACGTTCTCTTCTACTTTTTACCATGTCAGGTCCTAAAGGACCCCCGTCCTGCATTTTTTTGTTGTTTTCCTTGCTCTTATAAACCCGATCTAACTAATCAACTCCTTAACAAGCCATTCCTGAGTTGAAGTGGGTGTGTTACAGCAGGGAAAACACAAACCAATGAGTAGACTTACTGGCCACTTACTGAAAACACTTACCTTGTTGGTACACCTTGTAAGGGTGCAGTAGGAGACGCTAGCTCATCTTTTTCCATGCACAATTTATGTTAGTCATCCTCAGCCTTCCATCAGTGGTCAGACCACATGGCCACTGCTGGCTGGATATTTTTGGTCAATGAACTATTTTCAACCCAGTGTTAACAGTGAGGTGTTTAAAAAGCTGCAACGCCTGATACAGTCATACCGGATCCACACACACTAAAATGCCACTGCCACGTCAGCGTCACTGCTGTGCTGGGAATGGTCCATATCTGGTCAGCAGGGATCCTGTGGTGGTCCCTTTTTATTGATGGGCAATCAGGAAGTGGTTGATAAATAGTGCAGTAACAGAAACGCAACAGTCGGCAAAAACCTGCAAAGTACATCTACATAGAAGGTCTACCTGATACTACAGCAACTCAGTGTGTGTCCTTTCTTTCAGGTGGTCTACCTCCATTCCAACAACATAAGCCGGATAAACGTGGATGACTTCTGCCCTCGTAACTTCGGCGTGAAGAGGAGCTTCTACAATGGCATCAGTCTCTTCGGCAACCCCGTCCAGTACTGGGAAGTGCAGCCCGCAACTTTCCGCTGCGTCAATGACCGGATGTCCATTCATTTCGGAAACTACAAGAAATAGAGCTGAGAGGAGGCCTACGGGAGAGAGGGGAAAACAACGGATAAAGGACAGTCAAACAAACTGAAAAGAGGAGGGTTAATCAGAAGGTTGGGGAGGGGGGATATAATGCACAGTATGCCTACGTTTGTGTGGTATTGAGGTTGAAGGAGATATTCATGGAGGTGAAATAGAAATTGGGCTTTCATCATGCTCAAATTTGTGGAGAATGCAGAGCATGACAGCACAAACTGGCTACGTTCCAAAGCACATTCACTCAACCTTTTAATGAACTAACATTGAAGACGTTCCAAATAAAAGTTCAAAACATGGCCAAATGGCACAAATATTTTCAAAAATTCATAAACGCCAGCTTCTTATTTAAAGGGCTTCTTATTGTTTACCAAATATGTTCAACAGTAGTGTAATTGACATATACTCTTATTGATATCAGTGCAATTATTATTACTATTATTATTATTATTATTATTATCAAATATTAGTTATTTTATGCTTGAAACCGGGTGAGATGAGAAGTTCATTATGAGTTTTAATGTTATGTTGTTCTTTATGTCTATTCCTATCTCTAGGAGTGTCTTTTTGGGGAGTAAGATTTTAGTCACTGCCTTGCTACCTGTGCTTCAGGGATCTGTTCTGAATTAAATTAGTACTGTATGTTATATAGAACCACATTACCTTTTCTTCAGCTTATCGCTTTATGTAGTCTGTCAGAGATCCAGGCCCCACACCCATTCAGGACCTTCACCAGTCCTGGAGCAGGAAACGGGACTGTCCTTTCTGATGTGTTATTTTGCACAATGCCTTTCCACATTCCTCCTGATGCACTTGCTGGTGTTTGTCGACGGGTTTACCCCGTAGAGTTTTGTGGCAACCCCGTGAGCATGCTCTGTACTCTGTTGATCTTCCGCATGTTGAGAATAAAAAAAACCTTTCAGCTTAACTTAAAGAGCAGAAATGACATATGATCATGGTCTGAAAGCTGTGACAAATAAAACATAATTTAATAACTAAGCAGTTTTGATGAGTGGCATTGGAAAAACACAAATGAGGATTTAATATGTTATATGTCATGGTTTGTAATATTTTTTAGCACATCACTGCATCCCTCAGCCTCATCAGTCTGACAGAATACTCTATTTAGTTGTTCTCTTACTACGCAGCATGCATTATGCAAATACATCATACAACGATTGGGCTTCCTAGCAGACATGTGAACTGCTAGCCGTAGGTTTAGCCAGATAATGGAAGAAAGAACAAAATAAAAAATAAAAAAACGGCCCTGAAGCATGAATCCCAGGGTGTATGGCAGGCTGGGGGGGTAGGGAGGGGGTGGGGTGGCAAGCAGGTACTTGTTTTTTATCCATAAAGGCAATTAAAAACAGAATGACAAGAGTTCAAGAGTTCAAGAGGCTTTATGGCTCAGTATTGGATAGATTTAAATTGTCGGAAGTCCAATACAGAACCAGGTATCCTTGGAAACATCTATAAAATCGATCAAAATCAATTCAAATCATCATGTGTTGACATTTGAGTAGCCTTCTGCTTTTATGTCACAGACTGCAGTGGTCATCACTTTTCTCAGCTTGTGGGCTGAAGACTGGCCAGACAGCATTACAGACTGTGTCAGTGCAAACAAGCAACCAAACCAACCAAACCAAACCAACTTCTACAGCTGTAGGCACCCCTACACTGTCAGTACTGTAAGTACCCCTACACTGTCAGTACTGTAGGCACCCCTACACTGTCAGTACTGTAGGTACCCCTACACTGTCAGTACTGTAGGCACCGCTACACTGCCTGTCATTTCTGTAGGTAACCCTTCACTGTCTCTCCATCCTGTAGGCACCCCTACACTGTCAGTACTGTAGGCACCGCTACACTGTCAGTACTGTAGGCACCCCTACACTGTCAGTGCTGTAGGTACCCCTACACTGTCAGTACTGTAGGCACCGCTACACTGTCAGTACTGTAGGTATCCCTACACTGCCAGTCCTGTAGGCACTCCTACACTGTCTGTACTGTAGGCACCGCTACACTGCCTGTCATTTCTTTAGGTAACCCTATACTGTCTGTCGGTTCTGTAGGCAACTCTACACTGTCTGTCATTTCTGTAACTAACCCTATACTGTCTGTCAGTGCTGTAGGCACCCCTACAATGCCAGTTAGTACTGCAGGCACCCCTTCACTGTCTCTCAGTCCTGTAGGCACCCCTACACTGTCAGTACTGTAGACACCGCTACACTGTCTGTCATTTCTGTAGGTAACTCGGCAGTCAGGCAACTCTACACTGTCTGTCCCGCCGTGTTTCAGCTGTTTTGCTCCGGTTCCGCTCCCTCATGTTTCTGTATTGACCATTAGCGCCCCGCCCCTCCATCATGGCCGTCAGCACGAGCCGGAGCAGAGCGGAGGATGCGCGCGCCCTGTGAGAGAGCGAGCGACATGGAGGCGCGTGTGGACGAGCGCGTTCGCTTTTCGACTCGTTTCGAGCTCGACATGGCGGAGTGACCGCGGAAAACGCTAAAATCACAGGCTTCGTCCTCCAACCGAGGCCTGACTGCCGAGCAGCGCTGGAGCCTCGGGCTGGATTTGAAACGGCGCTGTTAGAGAGAGAGAGAGAGAGCGCGAGAGAGAGAGGGTGAGTTAGTGATAACCAAGAATCGGACAATTTCAGGTGAACATTTAATGCGTGCACAAAATACTCTGATCTGGATTTAACGTTAGTTTGAATTACTCTAGGATCGTTGAAAGGCATTATCATTATTAGTGTTACCATTGTCCTATTATTTATAATGATATTGTGTAAATTATTATTATTATTATTATTATTATCAAGCCTATATTGTCATCACTGTTGGTGTTAGTATTGTTGTGTTGTTAGCATTGTTTTGTTTGTGTTGGTGGTCCAGGTGGTGTTGATGCTAGTGGTGTTTGTGTCAGTGTGATACTGTAAGATCAGGAGTCAGATCTGTAAATTGAATGGTTTGTTCATATTCAGGCTGCAGGATGTTCTGTTGCTCTCAAGAGGAAGAGGAGGGCAAACACTCTGAATAGTGTGGCCTGTTTCATCACCGGTCCAGAACACCAGAACCCAGGTACTCTGCATTTCGCACAGTTTCATGCCTTTGTGTTTTATGCAGCTTTGCTCTCAAATAAATATGCATGCACAGTTGCTTATTATTGCCTTGAATGTTTGCCTCTTTTGCATGGCAAACATGAATGAATATACAAATTATTCTGCTGCTACTGCACTGGGTTTACAAGCTCTTCCCTTTTTTGCAGTGGCCCATTTGCAGAAGATATGGCTGTGCCACTCTTACCCTCCACCACACAGCTAGTTTCCATGTAACACTATAAATGTGCCACTCAAAGCTAACTTTATCACCCATCACTTCACCTCTTCCGCCTCAGCTTCCCTCCTTTTCTCGCTCCTCGTGCTCTCCAGCACCTTTCTCAGCCCTTTCTTCCTCATGCTTCTGACCCTCCTGCCCCTGCCTGCCCTCCCCCTCTCTACCTCTGTACCTTTCACCTGTTTGTCTTGTACCCCGTTCACTACTCCTCTGCGCCCAGTGCCATAATGGTCTGCTGTGGCCGAGCACTAGACTCTCCCTGTACTCTGGCTCTGCTGGTGGGCTTCCAGTTTGCGTTTGTCCTCTATTTCTCCCTGGGGGGCTTCCGTGGTCTGGTCTCCGTGCTGGTCCACTCCTCGGAGCCTGAGTTCGACTACTCCCGCCCACATGACGTCTACACCAACCTCAGCCAACTCAGTGCCCTGCTGCCTCCTCAGCCAGGCCCCACCGGAGCGAACCAGCAGCTCCGAGACTGCCTGCTGCCCTCTCCACTGCTGGGTGAGCTCTGGTTCACAGTTTACAGTTAAAGAAATGGTTTGGCCAAACATGTACTTGTCACTTACCTCACCTCAGATGTTTTCAGTCAAGGCATGTTTGGTGGCAGAAGTGCTTTTTTAAGCTTTAGTATATTCTGTTTGCCCTGCATTTGGTTGAAAATGATACAAAAAACCCACAGTATTTTGTGTTACCTTATGAAGTTAAAATATATGCTCATTCCAAACATGATGCCTGAAACACATACCAAAAAAGTTGGGACAGGAGCATGATTACCACTGTATTTCTTCATTTTTCTTTTTAACAACACATAATAATCATTTGATGACTGAAGATGCCAATCGATCCAGTTTTGAAAGCAGAAGACTTCTGTCTGCTGAGCACTTCAGCTGAGCAACCGTACAGGGTCATGTTTTCAATGAGAAACAGTTTCAGTGGCAGGCCAGTCTAGCACCTACACTGTCTGATTATGCAGCCATGCTGCTGTAATTGTCATGTCATTGTCATGTTAAAATAAGCAAGTGTGTCCCTAAAAAAAAGAAAGCAACTAAAAGGCAGCACATTTGCTTTCACAGATGTGCAGATTACCCAATAATACTCCCCACCAAACCATGGTGGACTTTGGCTTTTGAATCTTACACTAGTAACAATCTGGATGGCCCTTTTCTTCTTTGGTGCGTAGAACACAACATCCAGTATTTCCACAAACAAGCTGAAAGGTTATTGTCAGACCACAGTACACATTTCCAGTGAGCATCAGTCTGTTTCAGATGAGCTTTGCCCAGAGAAGTCGGCAGCATTTCTGGATGCTGTTGATATATGGCTTCCACTGTGCATAGCACAGTTTTAACTTGCATTTGTGGATGCAGTGACGAACAGTGTTTATTGACAATGGTTTGTCAATGTATTCCCAGGCCCATGCAGTGCATCACAGAAACATCCCAGTTTTTAATGCAGTACCATCTGGGTGATCGGAATTCCCTGAATCTTTTGATGATATTATGCCCTGAGAAGGGTGAAATGCCTACAATTCTTGCAATATTTTTAAACTATTGGATTTTTTAATGCATTTTTGACAGAGTAGTGAGCCTTGACCCATTCTTGCTAATAAAGGACTTGCTCTTTTTATGTCCAAGCATGATTGCATCACCTGTTCAAGATGCTTTTTAAACATTTCACAGTATACACAATCTTAAATTGCCACTGTCCCAACCATTTTGAAACACGTTGCTGGCATACATTTCAGAATGAGTATATTTGCAAAAGAGAATAAAGTTGACAATCTTCAAAGACGTAGCTTGTCTTTGTAGGTTTTTTTTCCAAATACAGGTCAAAGTAGATTTATAAATCACTTTTTGGAACTGGGTTTGTAGCATTACTGAGTCAGGAGGGAAAAATAGTATGGTGCGAAATATGGTGCGTGTGCATTGCTCTGAATCACCCTGTGAAGCCTGAAATAATAATTTAAAAGTCAGAGGTGTCAGGTTGGATTTTGCAGGAGTGTCATGCATCTTTACATAGTACATCACACGCACAGATTCGAAAAGAAGGTCTGGCTCAAAGTTTAGGTCTCAAATGTGAAATCAACATTATACTGATGAAGATATGATAAAAGTAGCTGATAATTCACTTACGTACGCGAAAGATATATTCTTTACCAAAGCACAACTGGTGTTACAGAATGTTCTAATGCTCTCTGCATGTAACTACATATTTCCACCAGAGGGATCTCCAAATCCCCGAAACTTATATAGTGTATAGTGTATATATAGTAAAGCAGTTAGCTTTATTTTTTGTTGTTCTCAATATTAAGGAGAAAAAAGTCGGTCTGTTTCAACTTGTTCTGTTTATTTTGTCAGCTATTTACAGATGATAAGCTCACTGGGTTCATCTTTGCAGCAAAGGTAGTAGCCACACTAGCATTGTCTAAAAAAATGTTACTCCCAGGGTTCAGAATTATCACTCATCAAGCCTATTTTTTGGCTACACCAAGCTAAACTCAAAGTTAAGTTCTGATACAACTGTGTCCTTTGCTTCGCATTGGTGGTGATAAGAACCAGGGGTCTCAATCTCTACAATGCAAATACCAGTTGTGCCATACCACAACTTACATGTACCTCTCTGCCATGAATGTATAAAAATATATATTTTTACACCAAACCTGATCTCAAAACAAACATAAAACAATGTCTCAGGCATTTCCGGTAATAGATTTCTGTCAGGCAGCTTTTGGAGGCGTTCAGATATCTGGTTCCTGTCACCACTGCTGTGCTCGATTCCAGCTCAGTACGTTTCTCTAGAATGGTGCATTTCACATCAAACCATTTTGAGTGACTTTGTTTGTATCTTAATGATTAAATTATGAAATTTTGAAAAATCAGTGGAATTACCCTCTGACATTTATAGTCTGTAATATTCTTAGAACAGGGACGATAAATTATGTAGTGAATAGCGGAAGTGCTGGACGAGTGTGGGAAAAATATTAGTGTAAATGGAGAGAAAAAATGCCTATAACTAATACCCAATGCCTGTAATTAGAAGACCCACCCTTCTAGTAGTCTGTGTTATACGCCGCTGTAGTATCTGTACAAAGTACGCAATAACCTGTTTAAACTGATGCATTGCTGGTTTTCTTTCTGTTTCTGTGTTGTAGTGGGGCCTGTATCTGTGCGCTTGTCCTCTCCCCCGTCCCTGGAAGAGATAAAAGAGAAGAACCCTCTGGTGACGCTGGGGGGCCGTTACCGCCCACCGGATTGTGAGCCGAGGCACCATACGGCCATCGTGGTCCCCTACCGGAATCGGCAGAGCCACCTAAGAACACTCCTTTACCACCTGCATCCCTTCCTGCAGAGACAGCAGATACATTACAGCATCTATATTGTACACCAGGTCTCTCCATAACACCAGTATTTACAGTGGAATAAAGTCTGATATTATTCCCTTTAAACCAATTAAAGAAATGTTTGGTGTCTGAAGTTTTAACCCTAAGTTTTATAGTAGAGCTACGAGACTCATGTTCACAAGTAATAGAAGCCTATAACCACCAAACAAGCATTGTGCGAACTGCATGTACTTTTTTAAAATTTTGGGTTATTTCAGTTACTCAGATGTAAACAAAATCATTTAAGTTTCCCTACACTTTGGTTTAATGTGAAAGTGTAGGGAAACTTAGAGACTCAGATTTCTTTAAAGTGGTGGTGATAGGAACCAGAGGTTGCAAGGCCTTTTACCAATATTATCATTTTATTTACTATTGAGAACCACCAGTGAATTTACATGTATCTGCTGAATTTTTAAAAGCAATGTTTATAATGGTAAAGTTAGGGATGGGCGATATTGCAAAAAATACATCATGATACTTAAGGAAATTTTGATGATGCATGATATATTCTTATTTTTTCTTACATCATTGGAAAACACAAAAAAGAACCAGTAGTCCCACGTTTTATAAAATACTATCAAAAACTATGAATACGACATTTTCTGTTCCATATTTCATACACTGCACTGAACAGAATCTAGTTAAACAGGATTAATAATGCTCTCTTTGTAATGAAACAGGTCAGTGTTCTGGACATACTGGCGATATGTTCCGCGATATGTTCAGAAAAGCGCATTATGTTGTGACAGAATTTATCACGATAATGATAAATGTCATGTTGCCCAGCCCTAGGTCATGTAGTGGTAAATCTGAAAACACTCATACTACACTTAGTTTACATCTTAACCATTTAGTGATGCAGAAATTTTGGAAAAACGGCAATTCATCTTTAAATATTCTCAAGCAGATTTGCTTCATAACTGTATAACATACTGGTATCTATAAAAATGGATGAAACCACTGACCAAATTCAGGCTTCAAGACAGTTGCTACTACTGTTTATAGCTATGCAGCGCACTTTATTTTTAAACATGAGTGTATCATTGAGTAAAGGAAATTTTTTATCTTGCTTTAATTCTTATCCTTAGCAGTGGCTCTCAAAAGGGTCCCTACAGATCCCCATTTTTGTTATGTCTTTATGTGTTGGCAGCTTAGATACAGTTAAAATGGGACCGTGTGGTCTAAGAACAGTTGCTTTGGAATAATTCTTTAGTGTAATTTCTCTGCTGACTTCTAGACTTGAATTGATTTTACTGTCTTTGTGGTCAGTCAGGGAACTCAACGTTTAACCGTGCGAAGCTACTGAACGTAGGAGTGCGAGAGGCTCTGAAGGAGGAGGACTGGAGTTGCATCTTCCTTCATGATGTTGACCTACTCCCAGAAAATGACCACAACACCTACACCTGCCACCCGCAGTACCCCACTCACCTTTCTGTGGCTATGGACAAGTTCAGATACAGGTAGCCCCATCTGGAGGAGCTGCTGTTGGGATCTTCTCAAGGAAATTCATGCTTTGACCAGCGTTGATCTTTGTCTCCTTTCTCGTTGGTTCTGTAGGCTCCCATATCCGCAGTATTTTGGAGGGGTGTCAGCCGTCACTCCAGATCAATACCTCAAAATGAATGGCTTTCCAAACCAGTACTGGGGCTGGGGAGGAGAAGACGATGACATTGCGACTAGGTGACCAAACAAACCTCTTGCAGTTGCACTCAAGAACCATTTTAAAAATGCATCGTGTGAAATGAGTGTGTGAACTTGTTGCATGTTGTCTGTTGGTTGTCTTTTACCTCTCTTTCCATTATGCTCTCACTGACCCTCTGATCACTATGCTCCTTACCACTGCATCTGTCCATCTGCATAGCCACTGGAGGGGTCAGTAAGTAAACTGAATCACCAGCCCTAATGTGATGTTCAAGGCTTCAACCTAAGTTTGGTTCTTTAACCCCAACCTTCATTTTTCTCCACTGTTGAGTGTGGAACTACATGATAAAGGCTACAGTGTGTTGGGAAGCTAAAGTAAAGTTGAAGCTTTGTAACAGTGGTCAGGTTCGCAATAAGTTGTTTTAAGATTTGGGTTTCCTTCTCTCTGGTTTGCTCTCTCCTTTGTCTCTGCTGTGGTCCTATAATACAAACACTGAAACTGTCACTGAGACTGGCTGCCCGTTCCCAGTAGTGCAGGGCTTCTTAGTGCATGGATGCTTTAGTTCTGCTGGAAAATCCGTTGATTGTGCGCTCCTGAACCTGGTGTGCTCCCTGAACTGGGTGCACAGAAGGTACTTTGTCCCATTGATTTCCTGTTAAATAGATCAGCACGTTTTGCCTGACCCAGATGACTCTGGTGGGGAGGACCCAGACAAAGGAACCCAGAACTTTAGCTTTCAGTATCGTCTTTTACAGCAGTTAATTAGAAATGTCATACGGTACAAGAACCTGATAAAAGGCACCTCAACCCAACGTTATTGGGTTTTAGTATTGTAACTGTTAGCTTATGAGTTGTGACCAGTGGTGTTTACAGGGGGTGTGAGGGGGCAGTCGCACTGGGACACTGGCAACCAGGCCCCTTAAAATCTTTTTTTGGGCCCCTTATATAGATACTGACACACCATGACTTACAGAAAGGTCCAATTTCTTAGCAACATACCTCAGTTAGCTTCCATCATCACTGTGATGTCTGTTCATCCCCCTCTTATTCATAATGATTCCGCTCAAATAATATATAAAAATATGAATTTTAGCAAAATCGCACAGCAGGGGTTTTCAGGGGTCTTCTAATTTGGCCTGTTGCATTTCAGACAGCTTATTATGATGTGTTACAAGCCAAACAGGAGGTCTAACATAAAAATGTAGGTACATTTTAGATGCTAGAGAGTGGAATGGCATGCCTTGATCAATCTGTACGAGACATATCAAGAACAAGTAAACAAGAAAATTACATTTGTTTATTCACTACAAATAATTTCCATATAGGGGGCATTCATTTTTTGCACAGAGGCCTTTAAGATCCTAGTTACGCCACTGGTTGTGATGATCATTTCATACCTCCTAAGCCTATTTTAAGCTACATTTAGTAAGACTTAGTAGTGCTCTTTCTTTCGTCTGTCTTTTCATTGAGTCATTCCATCCATTCTCTGGTGTCTTCTCTCATATTGTTCTTGCATCACTTTTCTCCTTGATGTATGATCTGTCTCCTCAGAGTTCGTCTCTCTGGGATGAAGATAGTGCGCCCCCCTGTGGCCATTGGCCATTATAAGATGATTAAGCATAAAGGGGACCAGGGTAATGAGCAGAACCCCAGAAGGTAATCAAGCATGGCTGCCTTTTCCACCATTGACGTAGGGGGAACTTGAATGTCATAGTCCTCTGCCTTTACTTCACAAGTTCTAATGATCTAATCCATCATAGGCGCATACATACTGTCTGATTAACTCTTGTCTAATCTCTGATAAACAGGTTTGACTTGTTGAAGCGCACCAGGCTAAACTGGAGATCAGATGGTCTCAACTCATTGACCTATGAGCTTCTGTCCAAAGAGCTCGAGCCGCTGTACACGAACCTGTCCGTTAACATTGGGGAAGACCCTCATCCTCCTCCGAAAAAGTCTGAGCCCCCTCGGAATGTCACTCGCCCTACAGCCAAGCCCATGGCCAGGAGCAAAGATCTGGGAAAACTGGGTGTCTTCTCCACTCAAGCACCCAAACTGGAGCATGCCCACTCTAAAGTGGCCAACAAGAGTTCAGGTGTTGTTCAGAAAGCTGTTGTGAAACAGGAAGTTGGTTGATGGCAAACACGTAGTCCGTAAACAATCGGCACAAGTACCATACAGGGTAATTTCTCGAATGGATGGTGCACTTGTAACATGCCGGTTTGCTTCGTTTTCTGTTTTAAAATCATGGAGCTTTGCACTGAGGTGTCATTACACTGAAGGTCCACCAACAGGGGTGACGTTTTAACTGCTCATTCCCCTCTGGAGGATCTCCAACACTGGCATGGTGTCATTTGCACAAACTTGCTGTACCATCTTCTGAAGCTCACCCTGCCATGGGACGGATCTGAGAGAGAGCCGAGTTGAAAGTATCCTGAAAGTGACCTGTTCGTGTGCACTTGTGCTGTAGAGACACTTGCACCAGTGCTAGTCCCTGTGTGCTTATTCAGCCAGCCTGCTGTCAGCTGCTAATCTTCACCCCACCGTGTGGGTTTGTCTCTCTGTGCCTTTTTTCTCACTCTAGAACCAGTCTCTATCAGCGTCTTACTACATATGTTCTCAAACCCCAAGACAAACACATATTAGTTCGCACTGGTGTGTCGGAGTAATACTAGAGCTTAATTTCTGATCCTCTTATTTCTAATCAGCACACACTGCTTTGTGATCTTGCGCTTGAGCAGACTGTTATCACTGTGGACTATTTTTGGTCTTGCTCCGGAAACGTTCATCACATGTTTGCACAGGTTCGTGTTCTTGTTTTAGAGACATTTGTTCTTCTAACAGTGAGCACTGACTCGTTTTTTTCTTTAAGCTGCTCAAATCACTATTTATATTTTTGTTATGGAGTCTAATAGAGTATATTTGATCGAGTTATTGTATGGTGCCTCTGTTGATTTTGGTTTTGGTTAGACAATCAGTGAGAAGTAAACTAGGTGGCAAATCATATATCAAATGGGTCGTAGTTTTTATCATTATAATAAATTACTCTAGCTTGTTAGTTTGATTCAGTTTAGAACGTTCTAATATAATAGATTTTGTTATTAAGGTATTAAAGTTATCAGCGTTAAGTGGATTAATTTTAAGGAGGTGTGAACTCCATCTGTTGCTATGTTGCTATAATGCTAAATAGTTCTGGGCCTTTGTGCATCAGCTGTATTAATTCTACCCCAGCCAACATTTGCCATATGCAAAATATTACACGGTTAAACTTTTTTATTTATTTATTTAAATATTCCATGACTGAAAATAATTTCTAATTATCACATAACACTGGGACTCATTCACCGACTGTCTTCTTAAAACGCACTTGTGCAATTTTCATGAAGATTCTGACGTTCAACAGTGTTTTCTTATGTATTCTTAGGTGAGAACAGAATCTGCACACACATTTAAAAGCACAAAGGTGTGAACAGTTCTGTGCTTTAAGAACACATAATGAGTCTTATGTAGACTTTTTATTAGGACCTTTCTCAAGAACAAATTTAAGAAAAAACTTAGTGAATGAGGCCCAATGTTATCACTATATACAGTACTGTGCAAAAGTCAGAGACCACCCTTCATTTATTTAATTTCCAGTCAAAATGGCCAGTAAGTACAAGTTGCTTACTGGGGCAGTCATGGGCTGCAGGTTAGGGAACCAATGGTTCGATCCCCTGAGCTGACAGGACACGACTGAAGTGCCCTTGAGCACTTTAACCTCCAAACCTCCAAACTGCTCCCCGGGCCCCGTGGATAGGGCTGCCCACTGCTCCGGGCAGGTGCGCTCACTCCCCCCTAGTGTGTGTGTGTGTTCACCAGTGTGCAGGTATGTGGGTGTTTCACTGCATGGATGGGTTAAATGCAGAGGTCTAATTCCTCTGTGTGCGAACACAGTTGGCCAATGGTTCTGAATTCTATTTTATATATTACATTTTGCAGTATTTAATATGTTTGGCTTTATTACATTTCTTTACAGAAGACTTGCTTTTAGTTTTACAAAGAAACCTGCAGAAATATTTTTCCACACCTCCAGTGTGGAAAGTTCAGTCTTAGAAGTTGGCTGCATGTTGAGTTCCGGACTCTGGAGTGGTCAGTCTGTTGTTCAAAGAACGCCAGCAGCTTATTTGTCTGATTTGCAAATGATCTTTTTGTCAAGTTACTTTTCCTAGTGAGACTTCTTGACAGCTACACATCCTTTCAGAGCCATAGCGCTGAGTTGTCTTCTCACAGTGGGAGGATGGACAGAAACACTTGTGGATTTTTTCAGATCTGAAGCAGCTTGATTTTCTCCTCTCTCTCAAAGATGAAAGGCTTAAGTGCTGTTTATCTGATGATGACAGTTTTGGTGTCTACCAGATCTTTATCACGGTTGTTAGCAGATTTTTCATCTTTAAATCATTCCTTGAGGTCCAGCTTTGGAAAATTCAGTTATTTTCCTTTGATTGTCTTCCTCCTCATGCAAGTGAATATCTTGTATGTAATCTCTTCAGAAATATCTCCTGAAAAATGTTGTTTTGATTAGAAATGAAATAAACAAAGGGTGATCTCTGACTTTTGCACAGTACCATATGTAATATGTGAACTTCTTTGCTGACTAGCAGTAGATATTTATGTGACCGTTAATGAGATCATTTACTTTCCCTTGAATCTGCCAACATTGAACAGCATAAACAGTACTCCTTAAACTCATGCTGTAGAAAGATACACAAGACTTTATCACTCGTGTTCTCTAATATCACAAATGATTATTTGAATGTATTAAGTTGAAATGTTCTCTGTCTCAAGGTGTTTGTTTTGTTTTACTGATTATGCACTGCCTAATCTTTAATCATTGGGACTAGCAGTGTAAAGACTTGCAAATATGTGAAACTTGCAGTTGATCAAGCCTCAAACAGCTTTCCCTAATGCCTTTATAGTCCAAACATTGGATGGTTAGATACAATTATGATTATGAAAGCTGATATTTATTCATCACTGTAGTCATTTAAAATTGTAAGGTACAGTTTAAACAGTAGTATGAATGATCCACATATATCTTGGCTTGCTAACGTGTATCCAAGGCACCTCTTTGCTTATAACATTTGCAGGATCCTAATATATTTAGTGAATACAGTAGTTTTGTATAATATGTTTAGTAATGGTGATAATCTACTTGAATACCTATGGGTAGTCTTATAATATGATCATTATTTTCCCGTCTGACTTGACGCCGGTTGCATAAAGATATAGTTCTAGTTTCTTGGTTTATAGAGATTCTGTTTATTTTTGTTTACATCACATATCTAATTGCAAAGTATGAATCCATATTCTTTGAAGTAAACATGTTCTAAAGGTCATTTTCAAAACAAACCTTAATAATGGGTTTCAAATGGTAGTGCTGATTGACCCTTAGTTTGCAGTGAAGAATCATGATTAGCATCGCAGTTGCTAATAATTTAGGTCTAAGAGTAACTGCTGCCGATAGTAGGGAGCCAAATGATTATAGATCAAATAACATTTACATTAATGCATTGCAGACAACACTGAAATTGTGTGAAGTAACTGCTTGATTGTACTCTCGTCAACAGATGGCTGGATTGAAATCTTTGCTTTAACAAGGGTCCTTGAATATTGATGCTAAGAGTCTGTGACTGACTTTCAAGAACTCTCAGCACACCTCCAGTTCCCAAGGGTTACTGTGTCTGCTGGTAGCGTTACAAAACGACTCATTTTGCTTCCAAGCACTAAAAACGATTTACCGATGACTAGTGAAACCGGCTGATGCTCTGTTCCTGAGGGACTACAGGCGTGCTAGTGCTTTATGTAAAACAGTTCCATTCAGCAGATAAATAAAGAACGTTGAAAGGACTTTACTGTGGCTTTATTGTTGTTTTTTTCCATCTGTCTTTTTTAAATCACTGTCAAACAATGTTCAGTTTATTGTAAGATAAATATCTTGGTTATCTGCTCTCGCAAACCATTTAAAATTCAGGTAAAAACTATGGTGGCCTATATGTATGTATGCATGTGTGTATGTATGTATATTATGACTGCCGGTAAACAAGCATGAGACTTGCACATTTTACAGCTCTGTGTTACATCAATAGAGAAACAGGATTCAGCACAGGGTCAGTATGTAATATAGAGTACTGTGCAAATGTCCATCCTTTCTTTAATTTCCAGTTAAACTCACAACACCTAAACATAATTTAATTTTTTTCTAGTGTTTAGTGTGTCTACCCTTTGCCTTTAGCACAGCTTCCACTCTTTTCAGTTTTTCAAAGTTCAGTCTTAGATGTTGGTTTTATTTTATGCTTCATGATCCAAGTAACCCCAATTACAAATTCAGACTCATCAGTCCAAAAACCTCACTCCACATCTCAGATGTCCAGTTTCGTTGTTCTACTTTGGTGTCCTTTTCTCTGCAATAGCTTCTTGACAGTTACACATCCTTTCAGATCCATAGCATTGTGTTCTCACAGTGGAAAGATGGACAGATTTTTGTGGCTTTTTCCAGATTTGAAGCAAGAGTAAAGATTGATTTTGTCCTATTTCCCTAACATGAAAGCTTGAACTATGTAGGTAACAGGTTTGGTGGTCTACCAGGTCGTGCATGGATGTTAGGAAACCCGTTTTATTCTATATCTTTTAATCATTTTTTGAGCTCAGTTTTGGAAGCTCTTGTATTTTTTTTATTTCCCTTTAGCTTTTCCCTTCCTTAAGCAATATTATATATAATCTTCAGCTATTTTAGATGCACATGAAAGAGGAATTTGTGAGGCAGCTGAGGTGTGTTTGGGTTGTTAAGTGTGTTAATATAGTGTCTCTTTGAAGGGGTATGTAATTTTTGGTACCATTTTTGAAAGGATTCAGCTGTAACTGGTTGGTTTTAAAATTGGAAGGATGGAAGAGTTAAAGTTACAACAGAGTGCACAAAAGAGTGGAAAAATTAGATGCTGATAGATTTAATATCATATTTAGTGTTAGAGAGTTGTATATGTTTTCTGCTTTGTTGCTTGATGCTGAAAAATGATCCCTGATTTTGCATATTGGTGTAGATCTTTAAGAATGCAGGTCTTCAAACTAATATCTAATTATTTTATTAAAGCACAGACAGGCACTATGCTTATTCTGCTAAGGTGGATGATTGGTCATTGCCCTCTTCTGCTGGTCTGGGACACTGGTCTGGACTGAGCTTGGATGGCCTTCGCCAGGGGTCCAGACTCAATTTGGTCTTGTTGGGAAGTGGGTCTAGAGTCAGCCTTGTTTTGCTGAGAGGCTGGTCTAGACTCAACATGGCTTTGCTGGGTGACTGGTCTAGACGGAGCTTGACTCTGTTGAGTTCCAGGCCTGGACTGAGCTTGACTGGATGGCTTCTCTGGAATGGGTTCTTGACCATCTGGAGCAGGAGTGCCCACTGGATACTGCAGCTCCTCGTCAGTGTTCTGAAAAAATACAGACTGATTACTCAATTCAGTGTCTGAATTATTAGTAGAGAATTTACCACAGTAAAAATTGGCTCTGTGTACCTTATCACATGTTCTGTTGGGGGCTCTGCTACTTACATGTCCTTCATGAGGCCTATCAGTAGCTGACTGGACCAGGCGCTGGGACTGCCCCCAAGCCTTGAGGCGCTCCTGGCCCTCCAGGGAGCGAGCTGTAGGGTTTATATGAACTGGAGGGATACGTCTTGGTAAGTCCCATGTTCCCTGGAATGATGTCCAGGGGCTTCCACGCTGGCAAAGATGTAATAATGAGAAAAGAGAACGTGTTCAAGCTGAAAGGATGAATGATCATGTTGCACTGACAACAGTTATGAACTATAGTGTGGTCATTATGTAGTTTAGAACATTATGTGTATGTATAGCTTACAGTATATTTCACATTAATATCTTTAATTCAAACTTTTACCTTCACACCAGGAAGCAGATGACCTCGGTCTGTGCCTATAAATGCAGTGTGGCCCTCTGCTGCTGATGGTCTCTGAGATTGCCAGAACACATATTAGTAAACGAGTTAGTTATAAGTTAATCTTAGTTAGTTATTAGTTCATCTTAGAAAAATGTTTCTCTAAATTTCTGTATAAATCAATCGTTCATTGTAGAGCAACTTACTCACTCATATTTCTTTACAATAGAGGTGATAGGAACGAAGGCCGCATTGTCCGCCTCACAAAAATAGCCATTTTATTTGCTATTTATATCTAAAATGACCTACAAACGTCTTCTGAAAATGTATAGTTATATATAATAATGTAAGGTTAATAATGTAAATCTGAAAAAAGAAAATATGATCTCAACTCTTAAAGCGATGTCTCAGGCATCAGACAATTGTATTCGTACCCAATTCTTGTAGTGCATTTCTGTTTGGACGTCTGGTTCCTATCACCAACGCTCTGAGCAGTTCTGACTCGGTCAGTTTCTCTAGAAACTTCTCTAGTGCACTTCGTCAGACCACTCTGAATGACTTTGTTTATCCTAAAGACTGAATTATACAGATGGTATAATTAAACGGTGGAATTCTCATTTAGTTTACTTATAACAAAACATTACATAGCTTTAACCATAGATATAGGTTACATACCTATGTATGTATACCTATGTATATACATACCCATGTAACAATGTAGCGTTCTATCTATGTATATACATACCTATGTAACTATGTATATCTATGTATATACATACCTATGTTACTATGTAGCGTTCTATCTATGTATATACATACCTATGTATGTATACCTATGTATATACATACCCATGTAACTATGTAGCGTTCTATCTATGTATATACATACCTATGTATGTATATCTATGGCTTTAACGTATTTCAGTCCTGTGTTGTAAACGGATAACTGGAACAAACAGCCTTAACTTAACCAACCTCTTTGTAATGTTTTGGTACGGTCCAGTTCTGCAGTTTATGAGACTTGAAAGCATTTTCATACTGCCAAAAAAGCCCACAAACACATTACAAAACACAAACACTGACTCGCATAGATACAAAAATAAATACTGCGAAAACTGTCTTAAATAACGATTATTTAAATACCTGGTTAGCGGTATAATTGGACGACATTTTTCGTTGCTCTGATGGTTGACAGCTCCGTCTCTTAGCAACCAGACCAACGGAAACCCCCGCAGTCTTTCAGTGCTGTATTAACGTTACGCGTTTATATCAGGATAAATAACAGGATTTTTAACTTCCAGACAACATTGCAGTGGATATGGAAATTACTGTGTAGGTTAAATAAAACAAATAATCCGAGGTGAGTGTCTTGCGCACGAAAACTTTCAACTCAACGCTCCGTCCAGCAGGTGGCGATACTCGCGGTGGTTGGATGTGGACGGCTTCTAGAGCAACGTGAGTGTAGGCGAGAAAGATGGGTGACGTCAGACTGTGCATGCTGTCCAGAAGTACATAATATATTTTTACCTTATTTATTTTATTTTTACCTGTATACAGGTATCTTTCTGCGGCAATGGGTCATTTGCGTTTAGCGAAGTGAAGTCCTGTTGCCAGTTCTTTTGAATGCTCGCTTAAAGTAACGTTCACCTGGGTTAGCGTAGCAAGCTAACATTAGCGGTCGTAATGACTGTGTGTCTGGCAGCCGCCGCGCTGCGTGTTTCGTGAATTAAACATGTCTCGTTTAAAACCGTTTAAACTGCATATCTAGTTCAGCTTTCAGACATGCAAGCGCCACGGTCTGCACCTGTGGCCGAAACAGGGGGGCTCGGTGGAGGGGAGAACGCAGCGGCTGTGGGGGATTCCAGTAATGATACTAAAACACATTTTCGAGTCTGCCGCTTCATCATCGAGACAGGTAGCTGACTCTCATTTTCCACTCTCATATTTTCTGTATTAATTAGTGGTATTATGTCTTAAAATGAGCCATTTGCCCACTGTTACCAGCACTTCCTTAGAGGTGGGCGATATGGCAAAAAATATAATATCGCGATACTTCAGGAAATTTTCACAATACTTGACGTCACGATATAAATTTTTCTCAGTCATCTGATCATGTTTAACATTACATTTACATTTACGGCATTTGGCAGACGCTCTTATCCAGAGCGACTTAAAATTTGATCAGTTTACACAGGTAGGTGAAGGTAGTGTTAGGAGTCTTGCCCAAGGACTCTTATTGGTATAGTGTAGGGTGCTTACCCAGGCAGGGGATTGAACCCCAGTCTACAGCGTAGAAGGCAGAGGTGTTACCCACTACGCTATACCAACCAGAAACAGAGCCAACAGTGTTACATTTGAAAAAAATACTATCACTAACTGTGAGCACAATGATTTTTATTCCATATTTGGCATACTGTGTTGCACTAAATCCAGTTAAATATGAATAATTTTGCCTTCTTTATAATGAAGCATGCAGTTGGTCAGCATTCTACTGAGAATATTCTCGAAATGTTCAGAAAAGCATATTGTGTTGTATTGTGACATAATTAATCATGAAAATATAATACATGTAGTCATATTGCTTAGCCCTAGGTTCTAGATTACATAATGTGGTGTGGCTATATATTACAAGCTGTAAATGTAAGTGGTGGTGGTGGTTTTTCAGGAGTGAAGTTGGGCATGCGGTCAGTCCCTGTGGCCACTGCATGTGCTCTGTACCACAAGTTCTTCCAGTCAGCCAGCTTAGAGGTCTATGAGCCATACCTAGTAGCTATGTCCTGCATATACCTTGCAGGTAAAGTGGAAGAACAGCACCTCAGGACAAGGGACATTATTAATGTCTGTCACAGGTAGGCAGCCATTCTGAGTAGTAACCTTTCTAAGCGCATTACATTTGGGATAATATATTTTGCCCTTCCTCTCAATCATGTATTTCTGTGTCTCTCAGGTATTTCCACCCTGGACGTGATCCGCTGGAGCTGGACAGCAAGTTTTGGGAGCTGCGAGACAGCGTGGTGCAGTGTGAGCTCCTCATTCTCAGACAGCTCAACTTTCAAGTGTCCTTTGAGCACCCTCATAAGGTAAGACATATTGGTTTGAACGAGTTTCCTAATGTTCTCAGCTAAAGTGGTAGTTTAGCAAACAAAAAAAAAAAGTTTCCCCCTTAAGCTAAATGAAAAGTCTTAAGTCTGCTTCTTTTGCTTTGCGCAGCTTATGAAGCTTCTGACCAGTTGGAGATGACACAATACCAATTTTTCTTTTTTGATACTCATATTAAAATTTTGAATATTGTTTGAGATCGAAGGCTTAAGATTCCACCCAGCACAGGCTCGGTTCCAGCTAACTGAAGCTTAAATAACACCCTTTTAAATGATAGCGACTCTGAGAGCACAAAATTTGAATGATTGGAGTTGAATTGGCAGCCAGAGTCAGATGTGTTCTGTAGCGTTTAGCCTGTTAGTCGTTGCTGAACCACTCTTGCTGTAGTTTTCTTAAGGATTTCCTGGTTCTGATTTAGCAACACTGCAGATGGAAAAGAAACCGTAACCAATCTCATGAGGTCACATTAGCGTGAACCATCACAGTACCGCCCTGGGAACCATTTGGCTCTACTGTGGAAAAGAGGCCATTGATACTGATATGCCATGTCTCTAAATCATCACCCAGAAGCTTTAAACCACAGAACCGCTTTGAGTTGTTAACTAAACTCAGATAGACTTTACTTTGTGGTTCCTGACAATGTTTGATATACTGTTCTCTAAAGAATAGACACAAGTGCTATGTACAGCTGAAGTCAGTAGTAAGAGGCTTCTTGTAGACTACTTTTTGTCTATGTTAAAATTATGCTGATAACACACAGATAACAGGCCTACAGTGTCAGAATCCACATTAGAAAGTTCATCTGAGATTGCCTGACCACCTATGGCTACTTTTTTCTTTTGCTAAACTTGTGCTTTGTATGCCACTCTCGTCTAAGACTGAATGATTTGGGGTAAAATATTACAATTTTTCTGACCAGTATTGTGTTTGCGATTTAAATGTGATAATTTTCTCTACACATTTTTGCCAAGAAGACCAGCACGTCTATTTTTCAAACTTGAAGCTTGAATGCTGATTGTGGTGTGCCGGACTGCCAGTTCACAAGCTTTGCTTTATTAGGTTAAATTTACCCAATTAAACCTCGTTAAGGCAGTACTGAATAATGTAACATATAATTAAAATTGCAGCTCTTGTGATTTGAAAATTGCTTACTTTTAAATTATGATTTTGATATAAAAGCAATACATTTTCAGCCATACTCTTTTCTATGTGTGGTGCCAGTACTTGCTACACTACCTGCTGTCTGTGAGGAGTTTGCTGAATCGTCATGCCTGGTCTCGGACACCCATCGCGGAAACAGCCTGGGCCCTGCTCAAAGACAGCTACCATGGGCCAGTTTGTGTCCAGCATCGACCCCAGCACCTCGCCCTCACTGCACTGTACCTCGCTCTGCACACATATGGAGTGCAGGTCCCCAGAGGGGAAAGGGAATGGTGGCAGGTGAGGACAATCACAGTTCTGTAGAAGAGAAAACCGTCTTGTCTTACTGATGTAGTTGAATTCTGGAAATCATTGTACACCATGATTCATTTGTTTTTAAGGCACATTCATTAAAAGAAAATTATGCTTTAGAGGCAGAACATTAGATCACCAAAAAAGAACAAAGATTTAGGATAATGATTTTTAAGACGAAAGAGTAGTTTGTTCTAAAGTCACAAGATACACTGCAAGAACAAGCTGTTGTATTGCTGTCTCATAATGTTATTTGTCAGAATAGCTTAATAATAAGCTTAACATTCCATCTTTTTTTGTTAGTAATTTTTAGTTGAATAGCATTTTTAACATAATGTTTATCTGCCACATCTGTAGCGTAGTCATTTACCACAGACAGTATCTTTGAAAACTTTTCCTGTACCTAGAAAAGAACAGAATACTTGTAAAACACTTTAAAACACTTTTTTTTTTTTCTAGAAAAAAAAAGCCAATAGGTAGATGCCTCAGGTGGAGTATGCGACATTTCTGCAAAATGAAATCATTGTCAACAAAGTCATTCAAAGTGGTTTGATGTGAGACGCTGCATTTTAAGGAAACCTGTCAAGTCAGAACTGTTCTTATCATTGTACTGTAGTGATGGAAACAAAAACATCTGAAGAGTTTAATCCTTCTGCTGGGAGATGCTTGAAACATCTATCTGTAGCAGAAAGGTACATGCAAGATGTCGTAAGGCAAAATAGTCCCTAAAGAAAGCTAATTTTCCCAGATTTATGACTATTTTACCATTATCAACATCATGTACAAAAACTCAGAAGACACATGTAGGTCTCTGATCATTTTTAACAGTAAATGAAATGGCTATATTTGTGTTGTAGACATTGTGACTCCTGGTTTCTATCACCACCTAAGTCAGTATGTTTCTCTACAATGTAATGTCACTTCAAACCACCCTGAATGACTTTGTTTACATCTCTGTTATTGAATTATGCAGTAATTGTGAAAAATCAGTGGACTTCCCCTTTTTTAGGTGAGTCCTACTGCTTAGCTGAGTCACACTGCTGGCATTGAGATTCAGATGCAGTCCATGGTCAGGCTATTTCCGAGGATACATTTGACCATATTGTAATTGGCAGCAAAGTTTGCAGTGCCCTTATCTGCCTTCTTTGATACTCAACATGCCGACTAATCACACTTACGCAAGGTTGTGCGGAAGAGTCAAGCAGCTAAGATTGATGTACACTGAAAGTGTCTGCAGCCTCTGCTCTTCCAGATTAGTGTCAGGGCATGTGGCAAAGACAGAACTTGTGAAACTGGCTGAACCTTAAGAGAATCATGGTCATAAATATCTAAAATTGTAACAGTTTTTAAACGATGTAGATTTGGTTTCCTGGTCAGGGATGAAGTCTAGTCCTGGACTACATTTTCTTTTAATGGAGAACCTTCATTCAGAATGCTATATAGTCCAGGACTAGACTTGACCACTGCCTGGGAAACCAATTGCATGTGTTGGAATCACTAATTGTATATTTTAACAGGTTCTTTGTGAGGATGTTACCAGAACTCAAATTGAAGACATAATGACTCAACTGCTGCAGCTCTATGACATGGAGGCCAAGTGCACATGAATGCAAAGCAAATGAGGACCAAAATTCAGCATTTTTCCCCAAAGCCAAACAACTACAGACCATACAGATCATGGTCCAATTCCCAGGAAGGGTTCTTCTTGATCATCTCGTGATTTGGACCCCTGCAGTTGGATTTCAGCGCAGCTAATGAAATTAAAATGTTAAAGCAGCCGTGCCAATGTCTGCGCTGGACAGCGCTGTCAGGAAGATGCGAGGTAGGATGGAGAAGGCCGGAGTGTGTGAGTCACCAGGTGACAGTCTGAAAAACAGGCTTTAGCCACAGCACATCAATCAGCTCCCAAGCTCATGCCCTACTTTCTTCTTCTCCTACCTCGTTCCATTTTCTCCTGGAAGAGAAGAGAGAAGGAGAAAGTGAGAGAAAAAAAAAAAAGAATAAAAGGAGAGAAGTAACAGTGCCAACCGATCCCTAGAGCTGGACTGCGACTTGAGGTAAAGCAGCCAAATCTGGGGCAGAGCTTTGATATTTTATAATTTAATTACTCTCTTCCTCTCCCATTAGAATTTATCCCTGAGGTTCCCTGAAGTTACATTATAGTACAGTATAATACTGTAAATGATGGTTGCGTCAGACAGGATTGGGTTAAATCAGACTGAAAATGGACGGACAGAAGTTTTTTATAATGTGCTACAATTCATTGTTTTTTTCCAGTATTCTTTGTTTCTTTGGTTGCCATTAAAGTGTTTTCTCTAACTTCTTTGCATTAAAGGTCCCATATGGTAAAATTCTCCATGTTTTAATTTGTTTTTAATAACGTTTGTGTGGTGTCATGTAGGGCTGCGATGAATATTAAAATTAAAATTTGAGAAAGTTGATTTATTAAAATGTGCGAAAACAGAAAAGCAACTTTAATAACTGGTACTTTTACTTGTTTTTGTGAAAGTGTACACTTCTATGCATCAGTTTTTATCAGTCTGACAGAAAATATACTTTATGAAGCTAAACACTAGCAAATCACCAGTAGCGCACAGGAGCAGCACATCTAAAGATAATCTCCCTGCACATCATACAAAAACTTTATGGTTAGCATTTTTTCATGCCTATCAGATGGTCCTTTCCTGTCAAGTCCTCTGTTATCTCGACAGTAGGTCAGAGGTTGGGACTCCTATATTTCTTATTTGAAGCAATACTACAGATGAGTTTAGCACATGCTTGAGTATGAACCGGTTTTGCTTACATCGTGTCGATTCTTCAAATAGAATCTAAAACATGGTCACCCTCTCACTCTGTGACAAAATTTGACCAAAAAGCTGTTTTCAGTTCTTAAGACAATGTGGTTAAAAGTAGTAATCATCACTACGTTCTAACAGTTTCAGTAATGTGGTCAGGGTTGCCAGATTGGACAGGATCCCTCAGAATAGCATTTTATGCTACTTTTTATGATGGTAGTTGTTTTTCAGTGTTTTTTCCATTACTAGTATTAAGTTTCATTAATGGTGAATAATAATATTAAAGGTTCTACATACAACATTTTTAACATTAATTTAGCAGCAAACAACTATTGTCTATGTAAAGATATAGTGGAATAACGGCATCCTAAACAGAGAAAGAAGTCACACCACATCTGTTTGTGTTGCAATCCGAGCTTTTCTGTTTTTTTGTTTTCAAAGCCGATCGGTCCGTGCATGCATGTTATCCTGCCTTGTGAAAGCGTTGGCCCTCCCGTTTTGTATAGTGCTCCCCAAAAGACAAAGACAATGACTGCATACACAGCATTGTGCATGCAAGATAGTAGAGTGCAGTGGGAAACATTCAGGTGAAAGAGACCTTCCAAATATTCCTCCATCAAATATTCCTTGAAGTTGACAAGGCTTCCAAATATTCCACTGAATATTCCTCGAGCTTTAAGAGGCTTCCAAATACTTAATATTCCTGAAGTAGGCTTTCTATTTGCATTGTCCCGTTCCACCTTAAATCATGTAGCAGCTCCATTATGCATCTGAGGCGCCTGAATGGTACTGCTGCACAATTTAAGGTGGAACAGGAAAATTTGAACAAAAAGCTGGCGAAGAATAAGCTGACTGCAGCTTCATCACGAGAATTGCAAGGCATAAAAAGGGATATGGAGGTTGTTCCGTTTCTGCTTGACAGGTGTGTAACGTTATTTCTGCTGTTTCACAGAACCAATATGTCATTATTGTTTTGTACTGTATGCTAATTTTTCTGATAGCAACTGGTTATATTCGCGGCAGCAACTGTAAAGACAGTTTCCTAACATTAGTTACTTACTGTGTGGTTGTTTGGTCTAATGTTATGTTATGATATTAGACTGTACAACAATTGCAAAGGGTTTAATGGCCACAAAGATTTAAAAAACAAGTTTGCTAGCCATTGTCGTTTGCCTTGGCAATGCACATCCATGAATTTGAGGGAAAGAGCTTCTGAAAGAGCACAGAATGGTGGAGTGTACTTGTTTTGCTGCTGTTTAAATATTATCAGTCTCCAGAATCGGACACTGTGCCTTTAATATAAAATAAATAATAATAATGATAATAACAGTAGTCACAAATGACCAGCTACTCACATGGTCATGATTTGGATTCACTATGTTCCACTGGCCTCAATGGCCTATCTCTGTTTCTGGTTCTCCTGCTAGCATGTCAGGTCACAAACTCATTGAGTGTAGGGTCAGTACTCCCAAATTGCTGGAAAACATTGTATCTCCTTTCATAATATGTCCGTTGCTCCTCACCTGTTTTCTGTCTCCTTTCAGAGTTCATAGGCTGTGTGTCTGACTTCCCTGAGCTTTCCTGCCCTGATCTTAGCGTCTCTCACTATAACAACATAATTTCTGGTACTCTGAATGATAATGCCCCTCTAGAAACCAGGATGGTCCCTGCCTCCCATTCCTCCCCATGATTCACATCTGAACCTTTTTGGTAGACATCTTGAACGTCTGTATAGGAAAACATAGGTCTTACTATCTAATCTGTGCTCCACATTCAGCAAAACAAGACGAATATGCATGACTTTAATGTGGCTCCTCCTCCTACTATTCTGCTCTTATAAGAGCCGCTCAAACCCCAAAACCCTTTTCAGGATGACAAACTAATTCCCATTACCCTAAACAACCATCCTCTTCTTCTTTTCAAATACCATCCGCGGTACCTCATGATATGGCCAAAAGTGGTTACCCCTCCGAGTTCAGGTGTTTCAGCCACACCTATTGCTAACACATGTATACAATCAAACAGCCATGCAATCTCCTTAGACAAACACTGGCAGTAAAATGGGTCATTTTGGAGAACTCTGTGATTTAAACATGGCTTATAACAGGATGCCACTTTTGCCAAAAGTCAGTGAGTGAAATTTCTACCCTGCTAGATCTGCCCAAGTCAACTGTAAGCGCTGGTATTTTGAAAGGGAAGCATCTGGGAGCAACAACAGCTCAGCTATGAAATAGCAGATTGCACAAATTCACCGAGCGGGGCTGACGAATGCTGAACCACATAGTGTGTTCAAAATATTTATTCTAATATTGCATCAGATATAACTGTGTCAGAACCTTCATGAAATAGGTTTCCATGGCTGAGCAGCAGCGCACAAGCCTAAGATCACTATGCACAATGCAAAGCGTTGGGCAGAGTGGTGTAAAGCACACCGACTCTGGAGCAGTGGAAGCGTGTTTTGTGGAGTGATGAATCATGCTTGTGGCGGTGATGGATGAATCTGGGTTTGCCAAATGCCAGGAGAACACTACCTACAGGAACACCTAGTGCCAATAGAAAATTTTGCTGAAGAAGGGTTGATGGCCTGGGGATATTTTTCAGGGTTTGGGCTCAGCCCTTTAGTTCTAGTGAAGAGTAATGTTGCATGCAAAGACATTTTAGACAACTACATGGCTCCAATCTTGTGGCAGCAGGTTGGGGAGGGCCCTTTCCTGTGCCCCAGTCCACAAAGTGAGGTCCGTAAAGACATGGTTTGGCGTGTTTGGTCTGGAGGAACTACAGTGGTCTGCACAGAGCCCTGAACTAATCCCCACTGAACACCTTTGGGATTAACTGGGTTGTTGATTGTGAACCAGGCCCTCTTGTTCAACATCAGTGCCTGACCTCACAAATTGATTGCATGGGCACAAATTCTCACAGACACACTCCAAGATCTTTTGGAAAACCTTTCTAAAAGAGTGGAGACTGTCATAGCTTCAAAGTGGGGCCAACTCCATAGTTTTGGAATGGGATGTCTCATATAGGGGTGATGGGCAGATGTCCACACATGGCACTTTTGGCCATATAGTATATTTAAAATTTTCACTGCTTTTACTATGACAGATCCCCCCTCTGCTTCAGAATTAATCAGTAAGCCTCCCTCTTCCTAATGTCAGCTTGACCCAACATTCTTAGCAAGAGTAATGGAAACTGTGGTAGCTGCTTAACTTCAAGCTTTTCTCATAGAAAACAATCTCTATGAGCCTTTTGAATCAGGTTTCTGTACACAGAATTGCACTGAATCTTCTGTTGCCAGTGATCTGCTGGCTGCTGATAGTGATTGTAGTACCATTACCATTCTTCTCCTCCTTGATCTTAGTGCTGCGTTCGATACAATGAGTTATGATGTACTTCTCTCCCGTCTCTCAGGAACAGTCACAGATTGGTTTCATTCCTACTTCTCAGACAGACAGTGATTCATTACTGTTGGTAAATATAGATCAGCCAGAGCACCTGTTTCCTAAGGGGTTCCCCAAGGTTCTGTTCTTGGTCCCCTTATTTTCATCATTTACATGCTACCCCTTTTGCCAATTTGACTGCAGCCTTAATCCTAGTTTCCATCCTATGCTTTGGCACCATGCATCCTTAAATTAAAACTCTGGATGAATAACAACTTTCTAAAATTGAATACAGAAAAAACTGAGGTACTGTAGGGCAATAAAAACTCATTACTAGAATGTCCAACAACATTACTGACATAGAATGGTGTATCAGTGGGGCATTTGCTAGTTGCTAGGAGTACTGTTTGTTTCTTCACTCACCTTTGGGGCTCAAGTTAAATCACTAACCCAGACTGCATTTTTTCGTCTTTGTAATATTGCCCATCTCCCGCCATTACCCACCACTAGTGATGACAAAACATTGGTTGCTGTAATTCTGTTTTACTCAGCCTTGTTCTTAGTCAGCTGCTCTAGTTAACAGTAACCTCACATATTAAGTGTAAAACACTGCTCACTACTTCCATAGCCCTTCATTGTCTGAGCCAATGTCTTATTATTTGCATAAGATGTGGGGTCAAAGCCCTTTATGGTCTGACCTGCAGTATCTTTTGGAGCTCCTCCACCCCTACAGCCCCCCCCTCTGACTGCAGTCTTCTCACAGTCCCCTACATTAGACTCTCCTCAGTGGGGCAGATCTTTTAGGGCCGTGCCCTCTGAACTGTGAAATTACCTACACCAGTCTCTTCAAGACTGTACTTCTGTTTTCTGTTTTCTGTTTCTTCCTTCTCTTCGTCTCTTCTGAAGACCTTCCTTTTTAAACAGTAATTCTGTCCCTCCTCTGCCTCATATTTTTTATTTTTGTTAATGTTATGATCAAGGTATGCATTGTAAAACAACCCTGTGATTGTAAAAAGCGCTATGCAAATAAAATGTATTATTATTATCATTATTATTCATAATGACAATAAATAACAATCAGGTTAAAAACATTTTTCATCAAAGTGAAACATTCCTATTCAATGGCTATACAGATGGATAGATATACAGCACTATATATTATAGATATTGGATAGATAACAA